TGCTGGAGGCGGCAGAATCCGAGGCAAAGCTCCAACTATCGACAGGCCAGATCCTGACCGATGTCCTCGCTCAATGGATTCGTTCCGACTCCTACTCCACCTCCTCTTATTGCCTATGCCATGCTCTTACGCGTGTCGATGTTTCAGAGTCTCACGTGATTCACGCGATCCCCGATTACGACCCCTACTCCTCGATCTCTTGATCTTCCAATTGATTCTACGGCTGGGCGCGCAGTCCAAGCTGCAGGAATTTTTGAGTTTTGGTATCTTCTTGTTCGTCCTTTCAAGAATCTGAGAAGAAATCGCGAGGAAACCTTTGCTGACGTTTTAATTGGGGCTAGAATAAAAAATCGATTGGTAACGTTCGTCGATTGTCGTTTTCTTGGACGTAACATTTTTGGGAAAAATGATTTTTAAGAGAGAAAGTTGGAGAAAGTTTGGTGTTTCTCCAAGAATTTGTTTTCTAACATCTTCGTTGATGTGATAATTGAGGCTAGAATAAAAAATAGATTGGAATCTTTTGTCAATAGCTGTTTTATGGACATAAACACTTAGGAGCTACTTTGGGAAAAATGGTTTTCAGCAGAGAAATTTTGAGACTTTGGTGTTTCTCTAAGAATTCGTCTAACGTTTTAAGTACTAAAAAGTAGTAAGATTTACTTTTCTTTTTCTTCCGGAGTGCTTTTTCTTCCGCAGTTTCTGAAAATTGAACCCTTCAATTTTATTTCTTCGTCTAGTCCAAGAGATTCTCTTTAGGTAAAAGTGAAAATATTCCTCCAAACGATTGTTTCTAACTTACAACTCCCCAGCTCCTAAGAAGCTTCTCTATTTTAAAGATTCTACATGAAACGCGACTTTTATCACTCCCCCCTCCCTTCGAGCTCCCAAGTCTCGCCGCGGAACTTACAAGTGCGTGGAAATGATTTAATAAGTCGTAAAGACCCTGTCGACGTTGAAGAGGGTCGTGGCTCTTTTTCACGAACCCCGGAAGCCCGGCTAGCCCCTCGTATCCACACCGTTCAAACAGCTGTTGCTATCCTCCTTCCGAAAAATTTCGATCGTGCGTGACTTATGCCCCTCTTCTCTAATTAATCACCCTCGATACACTCCTTCCGCACCTTCTCAATTCATCCAGAGGAAAAAGAAGAGAAGAATCACTCTTCTTCGTGAAACTTCGTCGAACGAACTAACGAATAAAATTCCCCGCAATAAAAGCACAAGAAAAACAAGAAACAAGAAGAAAAAGAACGATCTGATGTACCAAGAAATCTACAGAACGAGAGGGGTTGGAACGTCGTCGAAATATCCAACGAGCCCCTCGGTGGATTTCGTCGACCACCTCAGCGACGTTTTTTCCCAATTAAAAATTAAAAAATCCAGCCCTCTCTCAAGTAAAGGATCACGCAGGAGACACGGGGGCGTGGAGAGGGCAGGGTAGGTAGGACAGAGGTAGCCATTTCTATGGCGGACGACTGCACCGAGATTTTCTACCGATTAAACATTATTTTTCCTGCTGGTCTCCGCTTCCTCCTCTCGTCGTGCGCGCCACGCCGCCTCTGTTTCTTTTTACATATGCTAATTCCACGCTCTCCACGTTTTTCCTGGCCCTTTTTAACCGTGCTCTCACCGCTCCGATGAATCCTCGACTCGATGTCGACGCGTCCCGCCTGAAAGATTCCTCGCTCGCGTATATATCGCCGCTTCGATTAGCCATAAACGTGGCCCTGCTTCGTCTCCACTCTTCTCTCTCTCTCTCTCTCTCTTCTCGTTCTACGTGCTTTTTGTAATCGTTCCCCTCTTCGAGGTTCTTTCTAACGAGTATCGAAGCACGCGATCGCTGAGCGCGGATAATTGGAAGGGAATTTTTGTCGCCGATCGTACCGATTTTTCTTCGTTTCTGTGCGTAAGATCGCCTCGCGGCCCGCTTCAGTTGTTTGCGCCATCCGCTTCAATCAGCTAAAGTGAACTATTCTCGAGAAGCTCGTAAGATTTCGGTATAGACAATATGGTAACGTGAATTTCGTCGAAAAATCTTCGTATCTTCTTGCTTTCGATCGCATATGCTTTACTTGAGATGAGATGAAAATCTTGGATGTTCAAATTTTTTAGAATTACCAATTCATCGTGAAAACGAAAGATTCCATCTTGTCAATTTGTTTATTCGTTTATTATTGCTTTGGAGCACCGTTGCACTTCGAGGGACGATCCAAAGTGCGCGTTCCTTGCATTCCGCGCGGTGAGAATAGATCATCGCTGGAACCTCGAGGAAGAAAATGGAAATTGAAGGCTTTCGCGGAAGTAAGAAGAAGAACAGTCGATAGTAGCGCTCGCGAGCTTCATTCCGGCGCGATTCGGCCAGTCAAAACGTCAGAATCTTAAAACACGACAAACACTCTGAAATAACGATCCGAGCCACCCTCGGCTACGAGCTTCGCCGGCAAACAGGGGAGTTTTTAACACTGCATGATCCCTGGGCAAACTTAGGGTGCACGCCGAGCGTTCTCTCGTGTCTTCTCGCGGTGTGCAAATCCTTGTCGTGCAAATGGACGCGGACTATCGCGAGCCCGTAAACGCGCGGCCATTATTCTCCGGGGGAAAAAAACCTCCGGCGACTCTTTCATCGCGGCCGAAATAACTCGCCAACTGTTATTCTCGCGCGATCATCGAGCGCAGGATCGTCCCATTTTCTCTCCTGAGAAAAATCACCGAAAAATCGGAATTACAATTCGTCGGAAAAGTAGGTTCGTTGATTGTAAAATTGGGAAATTAACGCGTTCACTGTCGATTGACCCATATAATAAAGCTTCGAATGTTTCGCTACCAAACATATTTAAGGGATTTTTTCAAGTTTACGTCGCGAGACAATTATGAGAGAAGAAGAGAAGCTGTTGGAATCGCGTGGGCCGGATTGAGAAATTATGCAGAAGCCAGGGTGAACAGGGCTTAGATTGATGCGTGGAAAGGCGGGTGTTTAGCACGCAACGAATTACAATTTCGGCGAGCGTAGGCAGGTGAAGGGCAGCCGACCTCAAGGGGGAGGATCGTTCTTCCAGCGAGTTACACCTAATGCCTCATAAACACCCTCAAAACGCCTGGCATCACCCTCGATTCGCGCCCGCCACTGCCATCACGAATCTGACACCGCACCGACAATAAACTTTGGCCTCGTTAGCTCTCTCTCCTCCTCTCTTTCTCTCTTCCTCTCCGGTTCCACCCCTCGGAAATCCTCTGTATTCTGTTTCCAGTATTTTTCCCTTTTTTTTTTTCGGTTCACCGTCTATTTTTTTCGACTCCTCGCTCGTTCGAAGGATTGAGAGGTTTCGTTGAATTTTGTCATCGATTTTAGCCTGCTTTCAGCCGAATCATTCGCAGAGTGGTTGCACCAAAAGTTCTCACTATTTTCTCTCAATGGTATAATATTATATCGATCGCGAGAGAAAGTTACAAAATTTTCCAAACGTGCTATCCTTTTTCCTTCTTTGAAATTGAAATTGAAATCCTTCAAAGGGGTGTGTAAAGAGGAATTCCTGTTGGAGAAACGAAAAGCAGCACCGTAGGCGTTCTCCCTCGGCGACGTTAAACGTCCGGGGGCTGAATATTTCGCTGGACGACGGCGGTAAGCCGGTTAAATGTCGTGGTTCACCGTAAAAACCCGGTCGTTTGCCGTCCAAGCCACGCCGCCATAAAATAAAACTACGCAACCGCGTGCGTGTATGCACGCCGACCCCATTATAAGCCGTATAACTCGACGCTCGTTGCGCGAGAAACGCGCCAAAAGTGCCAGCTTTTATTTCCTCGTTTCGCTACTCTCTCACCCTCCTCCGATGTATCGACGGACCTCGATTCTAACCTTCCGCGGAATATTAAAACTCCGTTTCTCGAGAAACTAATTTACAAACGAGCATTCTTCTCCCGCGCGAATTTTCGAACAGCAAGAAAATTCTAATTTTCCAATTTTGAAAAATTAAGTCTAACTCCAACTCTAAATTAACGAAATATCGAAAGAACAAGATAAAATAAATATCTGAGAATGTAAGTGAAAGGGTTAAATCTTTCGTAACACAATTATTCTTTTAAATTTGTCGTTGATCCATGGATCGTCGCTTCCACGATAATTGGTCGCGAAAGGATTAAAAACGAGGAAACCTCTCTTCCAAAAGAGCTCGATTCGCTGTCGAATTGGTGCTCGAGTGTGAGCATCTCGACGAAGGTTGGACAGAGCGAGAGGACCGTGTGACAGTGGATGGATCGAGCGATCGAACTGCATTGGTATCGGTGGGAAAGGTAGACGGGTAGACGAAATCGCGCGTGACAAGCGGCCGCTTGTACATTTGTCGGGGTTGGGCTCGTCGTTTACCCACCTCCCTCTGCCCCCCACAGCTCGACATTAACATATTCCGGCCGATTCGGGGGGCAAACATCGACGCAGCGGCGCCACTCGTTCACCCCTTACTTCCGGCACATTTGTGTTTTGTTTCCAGCGAGCGCGCCTCGCCGTTTCGCCAACAGTTGGCCGCGTTTCTCTCGCGAAAAACGCGCCGGCAAGACGCGCGACACAGGGGTGGTTTCTCTGCCGTTCGGAATGTTCGTTGCACCCTCGCAGAAAATTCTGTAAGAACGTTCTACCGTCTTTCCGGCGATTCCTCGAATTAGTTTCTCGCTCCGTCTTTTTATTCCGACGGTATTTCAAATAGATCGAATAGATCAAACAGACCGTGAACGATTTACTGTTATAATTTGGGGATTATTTTGTAGTGAATTTAAAGCACGATTAGGAGGATGATTTGAAATTTTCTTAATCGGTTACTTCGTCGTTTCAGTTAGGAGTGAAATTGTCTTTTGGTCGGTGTATCTGTCGGTAGAAGTATAGGGAATAATAGAACTCGGTTTTCACCCCTTTTACGGTGTCTAATATCGAAGGTAGCAGGAAACGAGCGCGTGGTCTCCTTTTACCACCTGGCGATAATTTCAGCCCCTAACACTTTGTACCCTTGTTTCAGGGAAGAGCTTCACCCTCACGATCATGCTGCAGACGTCTCCACCTCAGGTGGCCACCCTGTCTAAGGCGATCAAGGTGACCGTGGATGGACCCAGGGAACCCAGGTCCAAGACAAGTGAGTGTTACAGGAGTTTACCAGCGGTGGGTAACTCGCTGTTCAAGTGTGCACCGAGATAGGGGTTGCAGTTTAGCAGATTTTTATTCTTACAGGATTTCTCAGTATTTTCCAGCAATTTGTGGAATTAGCAACACCATTTGCCAATCGACGAATTTTATCCTGTTTTTTTCTTTAGAACAAAACTCTGTTTAACCCTTTCGTTACTATTGGTGGCTTTTGAAATTTTGCTTGTGCTGTACAGTTTGTTCCAATTTCATTCAATGAACCAAATTTTAAAACGATACGGCCAAACACCAAATTTTGCGACCGTGGTTAAAACTTCACCGTCAGTCACCCAGTAGGGAGAGGGTTAAGAAGAGCAGTACTTGTGTTTTCCAAGAATTTTCAACGAAACGAAAATTACTGCTTTCGCTATTCTCTGAAATACTAGATGGTGTAATATGAAATATTCCTCTCACATTCCTCAACAGAAAGTTACCAAGAATTCGAAATTCCACATTTCACGTTACACGATCTCCCAGATTTCCGCCTAATCGTGTAACAGTCTCAGCTACTCCAAAAAATAAGAGAAGACACAGAAAATGATTGCAAAGAGACGAAAGACGAATAAAACATCGTATCCACTCACGAGACACGTTGCGTTTCAGGACACCAGGCCTTCCATCCGTTCCACTTCGGGCCCAGGCCGTTTCCCTTCGGCCATCCCCAGGATCCTCTGGGATTCAAGCTGTCTGGTAAGTGTCCAGCAACAGAGGAGACCCATATCCTGCGATATACACCTGCACGCATAGTGTGTGCAGCAACCACCCGCGTAGCACGTCTCCAACGGCAGCCGGATAACTAAGTTTGCAACCCTGCATCGCGTCCTCCCTCTTCCTCCCGACACGGTGTCGCGAGAAGCCAAGCCAGCTCCTTTCAAGCCCCAGCCTGGCTTGGTGGCTACGAAGGGTGTCAAAATTGAGCGTCGGCAGGCACCGACTCAAAATTGAGTTTTGCCACGGGGCGTCTAAGTGGAGAAGACTCTGATTAAGCCCCGGCCTTTCGTTTGTCGACGCCACTCTTCGACGAAACTTTGCGCCCCATGTTACGAGACGGTGACTTCCAGCTTCTGAACATTCCCGATCATTAACCCAAAGAAAAAAAATCTCCCCTAACCCTCCCGAGCAATTCTCTCCATCCCCATTTATCAAGCATAAATTAGACAGAGCGACTCGATTCTTTCAATTTCCAACCAACGAAACTCGCGAAACCTCCCCGAATTCAGTCCCTCCCTCGTCTAATCTCTCCTACGTTAACAAAAATTTGTCCGTGTTAATTTCTCATGTCTAGAAATAAAAAAAAAAAGAAGGAAAATTCCAGCCCGGACAGCGAAGGGTAGCGTTCATTTTTACCGATTCACCGGACGAGAAAACCGATCGCTGGTGCGATTTCCGTCGGTGGCGGGCCAGTTTGGCGGCGCGTATTCCAATTCAAATTCGTTCGAAGCTCGAAAATTTTGATGGGACTAGCCTGGAGCGGCGAGGGTCGGCTACTGATACTGGTGCACCGACAGTGTATTGTTTCGGCATGATAAGCGGCTTAACGGAGCTTCTCTGCCCCTCTGCCTCCCTCCGGGGGTAGTGTGGAGTAGCAGTCCTGCCGTCGATTTCTCGTCCCTGCACATCACCACCTCCCTTCCTCCACCTCCACCTCCCCTGCCCTTTCTACCCGCCCCTACGCTCTCTCTCGCTCCTCGACCCACACC